TATGTATTATATTGTATTACACAAGTGTGTGTGTGTGTGTGTGTGTGTGTGTGTGTGTGTGTGTGTGTGTGTGTGTGTGTGTGTGGGTGTGTGTGTGCATGTCATTATATGGTCCACTATTCCCATAATTTCCCTGAAGGCGCGCTCTCCTCACACATTCCTCCGGTGGCTCCTCCCTCCTCCCCCCAACTGCTGCGGCGGTCACGTGTCAGACTGTGCACCAATCAGAGCGGCCCACAGCCAGCAGCCGGAGCAGCAGCAGCGTCCCCAGCCCGTCGCTCCAGCCACTGCTGGGTCCGACTCCGTCTGGCGACAACGGCAGTGGGGGGCTTGTTTTGATTAAAGTTGATGGAATTTTTTTTTCATGGTTTTAACTCCGTGCCGTTACGTCGAAATCCAAGATGCTTGCTGCGCGTTCCGAGTCATCAACCGCTGACTGTTGCTCACATCCGAGACGGAGAAACAAAGTTGGGAATTAACCGATCTGAGAGCGGAGAGGAGCAACTTTTCCAACTGCTGCACTAGTAAACGGGCTGACCTATGCTAAGCTAACCGCTAGCCAGAAGTCTGGAATGCAGTTGAAATTCCTGTTAAAAGTCCACAAACGAGGAAGCAAACTTTCCGTTTCGCGATACGGCGACTGTATGAAATTTACTAGCGACTTTAGAGGTGAAAGCTGCCCCACGGAGCCGCTCTGTATTCGGTCCGGGTGGACGGTGCAGGTGCACCTCCTGCGGCACCTGCGAAAACTTGGTAACTTAGCTTCATCGCATTAGCTTGTTCACGTTAGCATTAAGCAGACGCTGTTGCGGGAAAGTTTGTCCTCTCGTAGTTGAAATTATTTGAGCCATTTATCGCTCATTTTCAACTTTACACTGTTATTTCATCACCATCAACAAAGTGGTGGTTGTAGCTGAGCCGTGTTTCTGCTAACCTTAGCAGCCACCTCGCTAGCTAGTTATTGACCCTCACTTTTACCGGAGTGGCGACGTGGATTCGTTCACGGCAGTGGACGCTCTCTCTCTCTCCCTCTCTCTCTCCCCCTCAGGACTTTGGACACTGTTTGACTTTGCCGTGGGCTGCGCAGGGAAATCCCCTCTGTTCTCACCGGATAGCCTCGTAGATGTGACGGCATGATTATCTCAAAAAGCGACGTTTTACAGTTTTAAAGTTTTCATTTTGTCCTAAAAGCTCTGCACCCTATGGTGCCGCTACGGCCACCGAGAAATGGATGTCTCGCAGGCCGCTTTCCCAAACGGTGAAGGGCGGCCGGGCGGCGGTGGGACCGGGGAGCATGCCTGGACAGAGTCCCCCACAGTTCGGGCGTGGGCTCACTCTGCCCCGCTGTGCCCGACTCGATCCCTGTGGACCGCCGCGTATGACTACGAGGCAAGCGGGGAGGACGAGCTCAGCCTCAGACGGGGGGACGTGGTAGAGGTCCTGTCCAAGGACGCTGCGATCTCCGGGGACGAGGGATGGTGGACCGGCAAGATCAACCACCGGGTCGGGATTTTCCCCTCCAACTATGTCACCTACCAGCCCGCTATATACCGCCTCCCCGCTACCAGTGTGTCGGTGGGGGAACGGGAGCGAGTCCCGGGCTCGCCCGTGCAGATCCCCTTCAGTGAACTGGTGTTGGAGGAGATCATCGGCGTGGGTGGATTTGGCAAAGTTTACCGGGGCACATGGAAAGACCAAGAGGTCGCCGTGAAGGCGGCTCGGCAAGACCCCGACGAGGACATAACGGCCACCTCCGGCAGTGTTAAACAAGAGGCGAAGCTTTTCTCCATGCTGCAGCACCCCAACATTATCAAACTGGAAGGGGTGTGCTTGGAGGAGCCCAACCTGTGCCTGGTCATGGAGTATGCCCGAGGCGGGACACTGAACCGGGTGCTGACCGGAAGGCGCATCCCTCCTCACATCCTGGTCAACTGGGCCGTGCAGATTGCACGCGGGATGCACTATCTGCACGAGGAGGCCGTGGTGCCCATCATCCACCGTGACCTGAAGTCTAGCAACAGTAAGTTGAAGTGTGCATTTTCGCTGCTTAAAACAGAGAAATGGAGATAAACGACTATAAAAGGTCCTCATGTGGACCATGCACCTGTTGCACATGCAGCACTTCCCCCTTAGTGCTCTGATGCAGCATGGCTGGCATGATTCAGGTTTATCACGTCTATTTAGGAAGCTACAATATGGGCAAGATGGGCAGATGAAAGTAATTTTGCAAACTTATTACTCAGGAGAGTCTAGTGTTCTTTGTCTGTATAAATTGTGGTAGTTTTGGTCAACATTTAGCCGTCTTACAACAGAACCTAAAGCGAGACATGTGCAGAAAATACCATGTATTATATGAACAGCTCAATTATAGAAGGTCCTCATGGGGATCAGCACCTATACACATGCAGCACTTCTGCTTTTAGTTATTTACAGTTGGCTGTTCTGCTTAAGTTAATTTTTTTAGTGTTAACTAACAGAGCCACGTTTAAAGCAGTTGTTTCATGCCTGCTTCACTCCAGACTTTTTTAATTTAATTTGGCAACTCCACATGTATCAACCTGTTATACAGATAATGTTTAATGCTGGAACATTTTTCCTTACATATTATTAAGAAGTCCTAGTGTAGTCATTACAACAGAAACTGAAGCTGCTGCAAACCCACAGTCCCCATGTACATATTTCACTACATGACTGGTACAGCGCTGCCCTTTACCCAGGATGGATTTATAACGGTGTAAAAAGTGTTTGGAGTATGGAGCGGTGGGGGGATGCCATCGAGAGGATGTGAAATAAAGTCAGAGTTTGCTCAGCTGGGCTGCTCTCCCTGCACTCACTCACCCTCCCCTTATCCTTTAACACACACACACACCTTCCCAGCCCCCTCGCCACCAAAAGTTGAAATGTTGTTCAAATAAAGTCAGTGATTTACCAAACACATAACAAGACACACTCGGTCCACACAGTTAGGCCATGTGGTTGACCAACCATAGCCAGTACAGAGTTCATAGGATAAGCATTTAGACAGAGGATCAAACTAAGTAAAATAATCAAGATATTAAGTTACTTATGGACTTTCTGTAATGCAGTAATGATCACGTATTTAGCAAAGAATTACTGCATTGTTTTGCAATTGCCTGCAGCATTCATGTTTGGAAATTTCAAGTAGTTAAAGTATTTTGCAGCTCTCACTGTGGAGAGTCTCTGACATAGCCGGTTTCTGTAGCTGAACTTGGATCAGTGCAGTAGGCCAACTGTGCTAGTTCCTCCATGTACTTGTAATTGACAACAGGCCAGCAAACTTTAGTTTCCCAGGACTGAATAATGAATGGACAGGACTCGATGAGAAAAAGGGGTCTGACTCATGTACCCACTGACACAGGCTACTCACTTCAACTCAGGTGTGTTTATGTGTGTAATGTGACTCCAAACACTATTTCCCTCTTTTGTGACCAGAGACTCTTATCAACCTGGGGCCATGTGGGGAGCAGCTCCGGCGTAATGATGTCTGTTTATCTCCAGCTGTGAGAGCCAATGTGTGAATGTGGGGATGAAACATGTGAAATGTACACAGAGCAGACCCACCGTGATCACTAGGTGAAGACATTTAGGTTAGATTTGAAACAAAGCTTGTGCTGCACAGATGTGGTGACTACTGTGGGTAAAATCTGTGCATGCAGGTCTAATACACATTTAATCCTAACATGTGTCACCCGTACATATGACATCCATACATGGTTATGGCTTCAGATGGTGCAAGCATGACAAAAAGTCCACATCTTTCCAACCTTAACTGTAGTGTTATAGCCCAGTTATACTCACAAGAAAATAGTACAAATACATTAATAAAGTTGACTAGCTCTCTACAACATCATTATCACATTATTCAAGCAGTTAATGTTTTTCTGGATATGATTCTCCTGATTAAATATCTTGAACAGTTTACATGGGCCCAAACGTGCAAGTAGTCTTATTTAAGATGAAGATTTGTGTTAATTATAGGGCAGATGGCGAGAAAGGATTTAACTGCTGTTTAGACAGTTTCAGCTAATCGGATGTTTGGTGAACATACACAAACAGTCTCCCCCGAACAGGCACAGTGCTGCTAACACAAGTCAGTGTGTTTATCCTGCCACTTCACTGTGACATAGACACAGCTTAAGCTTTAAGTAAAGAATTTAAAACTAAAATTAGGCGAGATTGTTCACGGTGTACATATTACTGAGCTCCGATGAAACCTGGGGAAGTCAGGATTTACTTGAAGATTGCTTTTTTTTAATTCATTCAGAAACTCAACCCCGATGCTAAGCTGTTCCCACAAAATGAGACAAAGAAAGATAGTAAATTCTAGTAGCAGTTGCATGTAGTTGAACATCCCCGGGTCAGAAGTCTGAACATCTGTAGTCAATATACAGTGTTATCTAAATAAAGGGAGAATGATTAAAACTGTATGTGTTTGCTTAGAACCGGGGCAGTGAGTTCACAAAAGGCTCTCTCCTACACACAAACACACAAACGGCACCCTGCGGTGTGTTGGGTTGTTTTCCCAGTAAAAAAACCCAGAATAATGCCGCTTAGAGAAGTTGTTGCATCTGCTAGTGTAGGCCTGTTGTCTGTTTGTCTTGGCATTATGTGTGCATCGGTCAGTCCAGAAGGATAAAAGGAGTGAGAATTATCTACGCAGGGGGTAAAAAGAAAAGGGATACATTGCGATAATTGGTTTTTAATCAGCAATCTGTCATTTTTTTAAATATTTAATGAGCAAAATGTTTGGTGGAGAGGCTGTATCTCTATTCTTTCTGTGTCAGGCTGTTTCCCTGCAGTATGTTTCCTCTCAGCGTAAACCAGGACATAAACAGGTAGATGTAAACAGAGGAAGAACAACAAAACTGCAGCAACTTCACTCGACTACTCTGCCTGTCATTTATCAACTTGCAGTGTACACATGCTCCAAGCAGACAAACATACAGCTATTTGATCAATGATTAGCCTGTAAAGTAATATGTTGGAAGTCAGCAAGATTTGTCCAATCTCTTTTGTGTTTTTCAACCTAATCTGTAAAATCCCAGCCTGCAGGGAGGAATGTTGCTAATGAGGGATAAAAGCTTAACATACGTTTACACAATGGACTGGTCAAGCAGCGGTTGCTAGGCTACTGTGGCCAGAAGAATGGCTAGGACTCGGAGGGTCTCAAAGCCCTCGTTTTGTTTTGTTCCGTTCATATTTAATCTCCCAGAGAGCAGCGGTACTCTTTTATTGCCACAAACTGAGGGGGTTTCCCTTCTTACTTTGTTATTTCTCTCCTTCCTTTCCTTGTCCCATTCTGCACTCGATTGCAGCTTATTATTTTTCATGTCTGCTTTTTAGCCAACACAGTTTTAAGACTGAAAAGGATCATGTTTTTAACCTCAACTTCTTGAAGAGGGCTAAATGAACAAAGAATTCATCCTGCTAACAAGTGTTGTTTGGCTCCATGCAGCCTGATATAGCTCATGTCTTTGTGTATCTGAGCTTCGTTTTATTCAAAACCTAATGTTGTATGTACATGTTTATAATATAGTGTGTTGTGGAAGAACTCTGCAACTAGTTTTGCAGTTTTGTGAGAGTTGGTCTATGTCAGGCAGATGTCACTGTGCATGCACAGAGTTTCTAAATGTGATTGTAATGAAGGTATATGGTCACTATATGCAACAGTATACCTCTTAATTGTTTTAAGTTGTTTTTAGTTGTGTGCAGATGGCAAAGACGCACAAGGTATTTCTTGCTCCATCGATGCAGACAATGAATGTTAGAGTACATGTATTACTAAGTTTTGTTACGTGACAGATTTGTTGATTTCAGTCTTCCTTCCAGTCCATCCATTTATTGTCCCTGGCTTCTTTCCCGTCTCGCATTTAGGACGAGCAGAATCAAAGAACAGCAGATAGGACCAAGAAATCACAGTGAAACCTGGCCCCGAGCCAGCATGCATAACCCACATTAACTTTGGAGTTTCACATCTTAGTGTGAGCGATAGTATGCCAGGAATGTGTGCTTGAACGACACTGAAACCGATGGAGTTCCGTTTGGAGCGTGTGCAACAGCATACTCCCATCAATCTTAAGCTATTGTTAGACTTCATCACACTATCCCCTCCCTCTACCCGTTTCTTTCTCCACGCACCCACCATTCTTTAAATTTGTGAAGACATGACAAACATGACAGAGGCAGGAAGGATTTCCTTTTATGTTAGTCTACTGAAAGTAGTGCAGATGTGGTAATAAATGCATATTGAAGTCAGAGTTTGGAATGATAGCTATCACAGCAGTGAAGGGCCCCATTGTGAACGGCGCTACCAAGACCCAGTGCGAAGGCAGCGCGAGTCATGTAGAATAAGCCTCATCTCAAACATCTATAGAAGACTTGTGATAAATTATGGTCACAGACAGTCATTGTCCTAATTTGCTGATTAAAGTGGCTCACCAAATTATCAGCAGACTAGATTCTTCAAGTAGTAAACTCATAAAGTTACTATAAACGTCTGCCTACTGAATGTGATATAATAAATATGTCTCTATCATTATAAGGTTTATTTACTTGTATGCAAAGGTGAATCAGCCATGACTTTGCTCCTGTTGCACTTAAAAATAGATTTGAAAAAAATACAGTAGAAGCTAGTGATTCACCCAGGGATGCACATTTTATGTCCCGATACCTAAATCAAGAGGATAGGCTCAGCTCGCTTGAATGTAAGGTATGAAAACACAGAATAGACTGTTCTTTCCTGTAAGCCACTCTACTTCTGCAGGAACAGCACAGAAAAAGAACTTCACTACTAGGTCACAATGAGCCACAACAGGAGAGAAAACTGGCTTAAACTATTCAAAATAAGTGTCCCTCAAGAGAATCTCTTTTTCCTCCACTAATTTTTGTTTTGTCTCTCCCTGCTTCTGGACTAAGTTGAGTCTAAGAGGGAAAGTTACCAAAGCTTGACTAGGTGTTGCAGGGCAACTTTTTTCTGGCTTCCCACAATTACCCCTGGTG